TGGCCCAACAACCCAAGACTTATTCCCAGCAGCAGAACTGGAACCCAGCAGTCAAACCCCACCAAGTCGAACAACCCTGAAAGAGCCAAACAGGTCAGCGAAACAATACCAAAGAACCCAACCAACAGCCCAGCAGTGCAAAACCAAGAACCCAACCAACAGCCCAACAGCCAGCAGCCCAACACCACCAGCTCCCCGATCAGCCCCAGCAGCACAAGCCCTAAACCCTAAACCCTAAACCCAGCAAGCCTAACAGGCAGACCTCCAAACGACTCTGACAGCCCACCAGCCCAACAGCTCATCCCAACAGCCCGGCAGCCTAAAAACCCTGCCCAACAGCCATTAGTCAGCAGCCCACCAGGAACCCAACCAACAGCCCAACAGCCAGCAGCCCAACAGCACCAGGTTCCCGGTCAGCCCCACAAGCCCCGGGCCCTGAACAGCTTAACCCAACCGCAAACCTTGCTCCCAGCAGCACTAGTAGAACCCAACAGTCAAACAACCCTGACAGCCCAACAGCCCAGTAGCCCAACAACCCAGTGGCCCAACAACCCAAGACTTATTCCCAGCAGCAGAAGTGGAACCCAGCAGTCAAACCCCACCAAGCCCAACAGGTCAGCAAAACAATACCAAAGAACCCAACCAACAGCCCAGCAGTGCAACAACCCAACAGCAAAACCAAGAACCCAACCAACAGCCCAACAGCCAGCAGCCCAACACCACCAGCTCCCCGGCCAGCGTCAGCAGCACAAGCCCTAAACCCTAAACCTTAAACCCAGCAAGCCTAACAGGCAGACCTAGCCCAGCAGCCCACCAGGAACCCAACCAACAGCCCAACAGCCAGCAGCCCAACAGCACCAGCTCCCCGGTCAGCCCCACAAGCCCTAAAGTCTAGCCGAGCCCACCATGCCCATTACTTGGGTGGGCGAGGCCCGCCGAGCTCCGCGAGCGTCTTGAGTCCTTCGTCAGCCCGTAGGTTAAGCTGCGGGCTTGCTGCTTTGCTAGGCTTCAATCAGCCGGCCGACAGGCTTAGCTGGTCTACGACAGTAGACTAAAATTGAAACCCTAAACCCAAAGGTTTTTCCCTCTGAACTCCTTCTTAGCTAAAAATGGCCGGCCTTGATAAAACGGCCATTGGCTTTGATAAGCCGGCCATTGGCTTTGATAAAGCGGCCATTGGCTGTGATTGACTAACCTGCCTTAATAAGACGGCCATTGGATCTCGATCACATCCGTGGCCGGCCGGCCGTTGATAAACTGCTTATGCGGCGCAATAGCGGATCGAGCCTCCGAGAGCTAAATGTAAGGGTTGGCCCGGTTGGAGCTGGCCTTGATAAACTGGCCATCGGGGCCGGCCTCGATCAATTCTGGCCGGCCGGCCGTTGATAAACTGCTTTTGCGGCGCAATAAACTGGCCATCGGGGCCGATCAAATCCGTGGCCGGCCGGCCGTTGATAAACTGCTTCCGCGGCGCAATAGCGGGTCGGGCCTCCGAAAGCTAGATCTAAGGTGGAGCTGGCCTTGTATCGGGGCCGGCCTCGATCAAATCCGTGGGCGGCCGGCCGTTGATAAACTGCTTACGCGGCGCAATAGCGGGCCAAGCCTCCGAGAGCTAGATCTAAGGGTTGGGCCTTCCGGCTGGCGCTGGCCTTGATAAACTGGCCATCGGGGCCGGCCTCAAATCCGTGGCCGGCCGGCCGTTGATAAACTGCTTATGCGGCGCAATAGCGGCTTGGGCCTCCGAGAGCTAAATGTAAGGGTTGGCCCGGTTGGAGCTGGCCTTGATAAACTGGCCATCGGGGCCGGCCTCGATCAATTCTGGCCGGCCGGCCGTTGATAAACTGCTTCTGCGGCGCAATAAACTGGCCATCGGGGCCGATCCGGCCGGCCGTTGATGAACTGCTTACGCGGCGCAATAGCGGGTCGGGCCTCCGAAAGCTAGATCTAAGGTGGAGCTGGCCTTGTATCGGGGCCGGCCTCGATCAAATCCGTGGGCGGCCGGCCGTTGATAAACTGCTTACGCGGCGCAATAGCGGGCCAAGCCTCCGAGAGCTAGATTCCAGGGTTGGGCCTTCCGGTTGGCGCTGGCCTTGATAAACTGGCCATCGGGGCCGGCCTCAAATCCGTGGCCGGCCGGCCGCTGATAAACTTCTTATACGGGGCAATATGAAATCGGCAATCCGTAGCGCAAATCCACCAGATCTGGCCAGTTTGGCAATTTCTGGATAAAACGGCAATTGCGTTGGGCTTGGCGTCCTTTAGCTAAGACTGGCCGCCTTAGCTAGCCATGGCCACTTTGGCTAGCGCCTGATAAGACTTTTGTTCGCTCTGAATCCGTTGAAGCTAAAATTGGCTGGCCGCTGATAACCTGCTCGCATAGGATCATATGAAACTCGCAACCCGTTGCATATATCTGCTAATTTGGTAATTTCTTGATAAAACACATTAGCTTGATAAACTGGCCGGTCTTGATAAAACGGCCATTGGCTTGATAAAACAGCCATCGGCTTGGCCTTCATAAAGTGGCAATTCGCTTTGCGAGCTGTTGATAAAATGGCTCGGCCTTGCCGCTGATAAACTACTTGCGCGCGGCAATACGACGGGTCTCCGGACTTCATCTGACTGCGTCCGGAGTCGCGCGACGCGACTCCGGACCGAATCCGAACTGGTCCGGAGTCGCGCGATCGTCCGGAGTCGCGCTGCCCGACTCCGGACCAAATGCCGTTCGACTCCGGACGGGATCCGATTGCGCCCGGAGTCGCGTCGCGCGACTCCGGACTGGATCCGATCTTGTCCGGAGTCGAACGGCTTAATCTAGGCGCTGGCGCGCCTTCATGAGCGGCTGACCGCTTTTTAGCCACTACGACAACGGCCTAGCGTTTAGGCCCCGGCGCTGGGGCCGGCGCGCTCTCTATCACGTCGCACGGCTTCTGGACTTCGACCCGCGCGGGGGCTCAGCCGCACCACGCTAGTTTTCGAATTTTTGCGAAACAGCGCCGAGAGTTGTAACGCGCTTCCTTTCGGCGCCCGGGCGCAAACTCGGCGCGAGTACGGCAAGCGGCGCGGGGTTGTTTGTTTCGAAGCCAAAGTTGGAATTGAAGGAAAAAAGTTCGATTTCGCAACAATATTAATTAGAACGTGTAAGCGTGACCTAGGCTTCGTTCACGCAACCTGCGGCGGCATTAGCGCTGATGGGATGGTTCTTGCTTCGTGCAAAATCTGCTGCGCATGAGAGTTAGAGGCAGTGTCCCACCACGGCCGGTTTTGTTTGAAAATTCTGGGTCTTGTCCATGGATCTCGTTCGCGCCTAAGGACCGAGCAGCCGGCGGGCGTCTACGGCGCGAACGCGCGCCCGCCAGTCGCACGATGTACTCCTGGCGCCTTTGCCTTATAGAGTTCAGCTGTTTTCGCTTTCAGACTAGAGGGTTGTCATTCGGTCGGCCTCCCTGCCAGGACACGTCGAGAAGAGGAGGCGTGGAGGGAACCGCCCCGCCAAGGAGCGACAGCGTCAAGGACAACAACAACAACAACAGCAACAACAACAACAACAGCAACAGCAAGAACAGCGATAACAACCCAACAGCAACGACAGCAACAAGAACAGCAGCAGCGGCAACAACAACAACAACCACAAACTTCGCTGGCGCGCCAGGACTCGCCGACGGCGCGGGGCCAACTTCGCAGAGCCGCGCGCTGGCTTCAACGAGATGTTCGCGAGTCAGGCGGGATGTAGGGGTTGGCCGCCGCTCAAGGTCGGAGCTTGGGCAAAAACTTCGGGCACTGCTGGTTCAAAGGCCGCTCCAAGTTTGCTTTTCTTGGGAGTTGCTTAGCTCAGATCTTTGTCTGCAAGCCGTGCAAAACGCACGTCCGCTTAAACTTGGCCGTCGGCCTTGATAGAATGGCGTTGTCAAAGCGCGCCTTGCTAAAACGGGCATTGTCTGGCTTTGGCAAACACCAGGGCCGCGGCTCCAGCCCCTTGACACAATGGCGTTTCCTTGACAACACGGCCATGAGGGGGGGCCGCTCACGATATATTTTGACCGGCCCCCCCCCCCAGAGGGTCGGTCGCGATGTACGAAAAGGGGGCCGGTCGCGATCCGTATCACGACCGACCCCCCCCACGGGGGGGGCCGCTCAAAGTATATCGCGACCGGCCCCCCCGGATATCGCGACCGGCCCCCCCCCCCAGTCTGACAATTTCATATAGAAACCAAGCTCCGGACGCTCCGGGAAGCTCTCGGAGACAATCTAGAAACAGCCAGTCGCGAGGGTTTCTAGAACCATTGAGTAGAGAACAATCTTACGAACTATGCTAGGCAGCAACGGTTTCTAGTTTTTACTTTTGGCTTTTCGGTCGGCCGGTCGCGCGCCGCTCGGTCGCTTGCCCGCCCCCTGACAGGACCCGCCGAGCGGCCGGAGAAGGTCTCCCACGGCAACCAGCCGCAGCGGGCAGCCGAGGCCGTCAGCTCCTTCGGCGACTGCGCGGGGCGGCAGCCGGAGAGGGACCCCCTTGGAGTCTCTGAGTGAGGGGGCCGACGGTCTCACATGTTTTCGGACCCCTCGGAGTCCTTGAGTGAGGGGGGCGTCTCACATGTTTTCCGGTTTCACACGCCGTTTTGACACTAGTCTTTTTCGCGCCCGAACGAGTCAACAGACTCGTCGCGCAAGCTTTGGCTGTTTCAAGATACATCGAAATGGGTCGAAGGAAAAAACAAGGAATAAGGGGCGCCCAAGACTTGCCCACAAACGCACGCGGCCAGTTTTAAAGACACTTTGAGGTGGATCGAGGGGAAAACGCAAGAGACGGGGACGCCCGAAAAGTTTGGACGCCCCTCAAGACAGGAAACGCGGAAAATTCAGGAGGGGTCTCTTCGCTTGTCTTGCTCGGAGCACTTGAGCCCTGAGCCCCAAAAGTGCTTCAGTAGACGGGTGCTCACACTGGATCTTGGACGCTCAGCACCCGCGGCCCAAAACGCACAGAGTCGAGTCGCCTTCTCAACATGGGCGGCAAAGGGCGCGGCAAGACAGGGCACGGCAAGGCCTGGAAGAAGCCCTCGCAGGAGGAAGAGAAGGCCAAGAGGACCTACCTGGCGGCAGTAAAGCCGGAATGGGCCTTGGCAAAGAATTCGCTTCGGCCCTATGCTAGTGAAGACAGCTCTCCGTTCTTCACCGGCGGCAAAAGCGACACGAAGTATTGGGAGCTCGGCCGCATTCGCGAGGCCATGGCCGCCGACACCGCTGAGCTAGCCAACCGCCTGGGCATTGCGCTCTCGGAGTCCGGCGGCACGATCTGCATGGGCGCCGATGTTCTCAAGACCTTCGCCTCCGGCGAGGAAGGCCTGGAGAAGCTGGGGTTCCGCGGTGCCGCGACGCTCCTGGGCGGCGACGGCGGCCTCCGCGACGCTGCCAATGTCCTCAACAAGTACGGCACGCCTGTGGCGCGCGGCGCGCCGGAGCTCCGCCTGGCCGCGGAGACGCTCCTCGACTTCCTGGAGGACGACCCGGCGGGGAAGGCGAAGACCTTCCAGCGAGTGGCGCGGAGCGCGGCGAAGCTCTACTTGCTCGCCGTGGACCTGCTGCAGTGGCTGGCTGCTGCGGAGGACAAAAAGAAGTGGGCCGCCAAGTTCGAAGACGGCGAGGATCTCCAGCCGCGGGCGGTGCAGGCTTGGCTGGCGAAGCCAAAGGATCGTGCGAAGCTGCTCGCGGCCTTGGTTGCGTCCCATGAGGCGCAGGTGAAGACGCAGAAGGCCAACGCGCGGGGCTCCTCCGAAAGCGACGAGGCGGCCCAAGAGGAAAGCGCTACATCTTCCTCCAACAGCAAGGCCAAGAAGGACAAAAAGAAAAAGAAGAAGTCCAAGAAGGACAAGAAGAACAAGCAGAAAAAGGCTGCCGAGGCGAAGGGGAAGAGCTCCGAGGACGGCGGCGAGGGCACTTCGAAAGCGGAGAAGAAGAAGAAGCGTAAGAGGACCGAGGCCAAGAAGTCCAAGAAGAGATCCTCCTCGTCGTCCTCGAGCTCAAGCCCGTCCAAGGAGACCGCGCTCCTGGCCGAGCTGGAAGAGGCGGCGCCAGACCCCGCCTTGATCTGTTGGAGGGAAAGCGACGTGGCGCTTGCCCTTGCGGGTGCGGACCAGCTTGCAACACAGCCGATCACGGCGGAGACCCTTGACCAGCTCAAGGGGTTGTTCGCCTTGATTCCGGACGAGGTGCAGACGTCCAAAGGCCTACGTAAGATCCAGGCGGCGGTCAAGGCCATGGGCAAGGCTCCGGCCCGGGCGGCGCTGAACAAGATTGCGGGCAGGGCGCGGGAGGTGGCAGAGGCGGCGGAGGCGCTGCACGCGGCCCACGCCCCGGAGAGCCGGCCATCGGACTGAGCCAACCGGCCCGGAGCTGCTTGGCGAAGACTTATCCACCTGTAGACACTAGCTAGGGCAGCAAGATAGCACTGATCCGCTTTGCAATCGCGAGCAAAAAGCGGAGCGCAGGGCAAACAGGGCTAGCCGAGGGTTCGGAAATCAGGTCGCAGAGGTTTAGGCGTCGCTTATTTTGCTTTCGAGAATTTGCGACGCTCTCCGACGTGTTCTCAGCCCAATTCGGACGCCCACAGCCAAGTCGCCCTAGTCTCATTTCAGACGCCATGCCGCGCGTCTGCTCCGGGTTCGCGCTGGAGAACGGCGACGCTGCGATGAGGTGCATCTTCGCGGAGAAGCAGAGCGGCCAGCGCTCCCACGCTGGGCTCAGCGGAAAGTGCGTGTTCTGCGACCTGCACGCCCTGCCCGCGGCTTGCCGCACAGACAAGGGCCAGAACAAGGTCATCCGGTCGCTGCGCGCCTTTCGCAAGGTCTACGAGGACAAGCCGCACATCTACAACTGCGCGATGATGCGCGTGCCGGAGGAGCTGCGGGAGGACCTCCACGCGCGGGCGCTGGCGCAGGCCCGCCCCCCGGCGCGCGCGCCGCGTGGCCAGAGCGCGGCGGAGTCTGCCGCAGCGGCGGCGGCGGCCTGGGACGCGCAGCTGGCCTCTCGCAAGCGCGCCTTGCGCTCTCTGGGCAAGAAGCGGTGGACGGCCTACAAGAAGCGGAGGACGGCCGACCGCAGTCGGGTCATCAAGAAATTCTACGTGGACCAGGGCCTGGCGCCGCCGCCTCCTACACAGGCGCGGGATGTTGCGGAGAACGACTGCGGCCTCCCAGCGCTGGAGAGCGGCGAGCGGGCCAGCTTTGTGGAGGCCTGGTGCAAGCTAGGCTCCTGGGGTGTCTGCGGCAAGTGCCACTCGCTGCAGCCTCGCCCGCTGCTGCCAGTGGACACAAGGCGCGTGGCAAGGCCGGACATCACCGAGAAGGCCTGCAAGCGCTGCCGGCGAGGCGAGACCGTGCCGCAATGGGATGACATCCCGCACCCCTTGCGGCGCCTGACTGCGGACACCGTGGAGGCGCTGCGGCCCTTTGAGATTGACGTGGGCCCGTTCAAGCAGGCGGAGAACGGCTTCCGGATCCACACGGCGATGTTCCGGGTCAAGTGGGCGGCGCGCAGCGCGGAAGAGAAGATCCTTGAGCTGAAGCGCGGGCGCCGGCGGCGGGCACGCGCGGCCTTCGAGCACCTCATGGCGGCGGAGGAGTCGGAGTACAGGGTCTTCACGGCGAAGCACAAGAAGTTCCTGCGGAGGCACCCCGAAGCAACCGAGCACGAGCGGAAGCGCCCTCTTCAGTACATCGAGACCACGGGCCTGGAGTGCGCGCTGTGGCCACACTTGTACTGGGCCACCGAGATGACGGAGACCTGCGAGCGCAACACGGACTCCCGCCGCCTGCAGGCAGGCGCCCAGCGGAGGCCGAACGGGCAGGACTCGGAGGACGAAGAGGAGGAGGAGGCGGCCGAGCGCCACAGCGTCAAGCGCAGCTTCCTGCGGAAGGTCTTGGGGCCCATCGTCGGGTACTCCCAGGACTTCGAGCTTCTCCAGTTCGTGCACGATCTGGCACTGTGGTCGCGCGTTGGCGGCGGCAAGAATGCTTGCGCCGGCCTGCCCCTCCGTCTGGTGCTGAAGGGCGAAACGTTTTCGCCCCTCTACTGGAAGACCAAGCACCAGGCGCTGGTCGACATGCAGCGGCAATGCGGGTTCCCGGCGCTCTTCAAGACCATGGCGCCGTGGGAGTTCAGCTTCCCGTACCACAAGTGGGTCCTGCAGGAGCTGGAGTTGGGCGGCCGCGGCCGACGGCAGCTGGCCGGCCCCGAGACCTTGCACACGGCCCACGTCTTCTTGGAGCTCAACAGGGGCCTCTACAGCGGCCTCAACAGCCGCGGCAAGGATGGCTGGAAGGACCACATCCTCGCTGGCGAGGACGGCCGCCCGACCGTGGCCAACTACTTCCAGCGCCTGGAGTTCCAGGACGGCAAGCGAAAGCTGCCGAGCCAGGACTACCACGGCAGCGGCCGAGTCCACGTCCACAGCCTGGACTACTTGCAGAACGTGGAGGCCGTTGGGTTAGAGCGCAAGATGTGCGCTGCGACCCCTCCAAGAGAGCGGCCGCTCCTGCACGGGCTCGCGCTTGGACGGCCCCACGGTCGCAGTGACAGTGGCTGGCCGGTGGAGCCGGGGCCGTCCCGCTGGGACGCCGAGGCGCGGATCGCCCGGCTGCAGTCGGAGGAGGAGAAGGAGGCCGGCTTCCGCGCGTTCTTCCCGGAGACGCTGGAGGTGACGAAGTGCCACCAGGACGTCTTGCACGGCAACGGCCACGGACTGCTGCTGAAGTACGTCTCGACCTACACCCCGAAATTTTCTGATAGCTTTGCCCTGGAGTGGTTGAACGACGAGGCTTCGGCTTTCTCGGTGGCGCGGCGGGTCTTGTTCGACTACCAGCCAGCCGAACCGGAGATGTGGCTCTATCTTGCGGCGCAGCAGTTCCCGCCTTGCAAGTACGGTGGCACGATGACCCCCTTTCTTGCGCCGTGGCCCGGTATGGCGGAGAAGCCTGCGGCGGTCACGCTCTACGAGCAGTGCCCCTGGCGCCGGGAGTCGATGAGCCTGCTGGAGTACATGCGCAAGAGCAACAAGGACGGCGAGATCGCGCAGTGGCTCGTCCGCGCCTTCCGGCAGACGCCCGCCTATGACAAGACGGCCGCCGCGGAGGAGCAGCGCCGTGCGCTCGTCGCCTTTGCCAACGAGGCCGCAGTCCAGGGCGAGAAGCTCATCGCCTGCGACGTTTTGTCCATCTTCAACGACCGCTGGTTTGGGCAGTGGCTGGCCTTGCGGCGCCCCTTCCGGAACCTCAATGAGCTGATGTGCCCGGAGGTTGCAGCAAAAGTGCCCCCGCAATACGCTCACTTGGCCAACACAACTTGCGCGGAGCCGGGCCACTGGGCGGACGAGGACCTCATCACGCAGGAGTTGGAGCTGGAGGCCGCAGGCAAGGACAGAATCCAGACCTTTCTTGCCAAGGTGAAGGCGGAGCGCGCCCTTGACAGGGAGGACGACGTTGGCTTGCGAGCGGCCCTTGTGGACGTCGGCTTGCGGCCCGCGGGGGAGGACCCGCTCTTCCAAGACATGGACTTGAACGCGGAACAGCTCAGGCTGGAGCAGTACGCCTTGCGACGCGCTGCGCGCGCCAAGGCCGCCCGCGAGGCTGCGAGCGAGGAGGAGTGGGACCAGCTTGTCGCCGCGGCCCGCGACGAAGGGCCCCTGGCAGCCCTGGGCCCCCCGGGCACGGGCAAGACGACCGTCCTGGACAAGGTCGCGCGGCAAGTGCAGCGGGACGGGGGCCGGGTGCTCTTCGCGCTTCCCACGGGTCTGCAAGCCTCGCGAACGCGGCAGCGACACCCGGAGGCGGATGTGGACACGTGTGCAGGCGCCTTTCTGCTCTACAAGGACGCCTTGGAAGCCATGGACCTCCTGAGCGGCTACGACCTCGTGATCGTAGACGAGGTGTCCCAGCTCTCGCAGGGCGACTTCGAGCGCATCTACCAGATGTGGGAGGCGGCTGACAAGTTGCCTGTGCTTGTGTTTGCCGGCGATTTCTGGCAGTTGCCAAGCGTCCAGGGCAGCCAGGCCAAGGACAGCCCGCGCTGGCGGCAGGTCCTGAAAGTTGAGCTCCACGCCATGTGGCGCTGCCAGGACGATGTCCTGAAGAAGAAGCTCCTGGCGCTCCGAACGGCCATGCCGGACAAGGCCCTGCTGCGGCAGATTTGCGCGGGCCACAAAGCTTGGTCCGGCTACGACGAGCCCACGGCTTGGGATCTGACGAAGCTCTACCGCGCCCACCCCGACACCACTGTCGGAGCTGCCCGTGGACTGGGAGGCCAACGAGGCAAACTACAACGAGCAGAACTGCCTGATCACCGGCCGTGCCCCTCAGCCGTCCCTCGCGAAGATCTTCAAGGGCGCGCGGATCCACCTGACCAAGAACCTGAACAAGGAGGCCGACTTCGTGAACGGGATGGAGGCCGTGGTTCAGAGCTACGACGCCGACTCCCGCGGCCTCCACGTCCGCACCAAGACGGGCCGAACCCTCGTCTGCTACCCCGTCACCGAGTGGGTGGAGGACTGCGGCGCCGTGACGGCCTACCCAATCCGGCCTGGCTGGGGCCGAGCTGGAGCACATCACCATCTGGCTTGATGTCCCATTCATGCGGGCGGCAGGCTACGTGGCCATGAGCCGCGTGCGGCGGGATGAGGATTACCTCATCGGCGGCAGGGTGACACGACGGCACTTCACCCCTGCCATGTGAGTGGCGGCCAATGCTAGGGCAAGACGCGAGCTCGGCAGCGTTGGTCAAGAAAAAGGTGCAGGGCAGGGGCGCAAGGCTTTGGGTCGCCGTTGCAAGCTCGTTCCCAAGCATATGTTATCCGCGCGCAGCTTACGGCTCAAACTAGCTCGCTCCGGGTTCTCGCGCCATGGCCATGCGCCCCGGAAGCAGCGGCGGATCTCGCAGCGGCCCGTACGGACGGGCGGAGTCGCTGCAGGAAGAAGTGGCGTCGTTTCGCCGCATCCTTCTATCCACCTACACCGCCCTGGGGCGGGCGGAGCGCCAGCTCGAAGTGAGTGAGGGTCGGGGCGGCGAGGCCGCGGCGGAAGCCTCACGTGCAATCCGGCGTGCAGCGGGGCTCATCGTGTTGGCGGAGGGCCTAGCTCTGGCGGCCTCTGCACCCGCGCGAAGTGACGCGGACGATGAGGGCGCGCAGTGAGGACATTTTTTTTTAAGCGCAAAAAAACAACAACCTTTGGGCAAGACAAAATCGCAGACACTACCCCAGGTTTGGTTTCTAATCGTAGCGACCGCGACCCGCCCCCTGACAGGAACCGCGCGCGGTCAACAGCGAAGGCCGTCAGCTCCTTGGGAGAGGGATCGCTTTGGAAGCCTCGAATGAGTGGACGGTGTC